TGGGACACTGGGAGACTAGGAAACACTGAAACACTAGGGACACTGGCACACTACGGACACTGAGGGACACATGTGGACACTGAGATACTAGGGACACTGGATGTCTTCCAGGTCTCAAAGTCGCCCAGTGTCCCCATGTCTCCCAGTGCCCCCTAGTGTCTCAGTGTCCCCATGTCACCCAGTGTTCCCTAGTGTTTGTATCCTTATGTCTCCTGGTGTCCCTTAGAGTCTGAGTCCCCATGTCTCCCAGTGTCCCCATGTCACGAGGGGACACTTAGAGACATTGGAACACTGTGAGACATGGGGAGACAGACCCTAGGGGACACTGGGATAGACATGGGGACACTGAGATACATGGGGACACTGAGAGACTAGAGGACACTGGATGGGAGACATGGGGACATTGAGAGACTAGGGGCCACTGGGAGACATGGGGCCACTGTGTCCCTATTGTCTCAGTTTCCCCATGTCTCCCAATGTCCCAATGTCTCAGTATCCCCAAGTCTCTCACGGTCTCCATGTCTCACAGTTTCCCATAGTGTCTCTGTGTCCCCAGGTGTCCAAGTGCCCCCTAGTGTCTCAGTGTCACCAAGTGTCCCTATGTCTCCCAGTGTCCCCATCTCTCACAGTTTCCCCTAGTGTCTGTGTCCCCAGGTCTCCCAGTGTCCCCTAGTGTCTGTGTCCCCATGTTTCACAGTGTCCCCTAGTGTCTCAGTGTCCCCTAGTGTCTGTGTCCCCGTGTCTCCCTGCAGTGGTGGGGGCCAGGGGGGAGGACATTAGGTCCCCCCCTTATTCTTGTTTAGTGCCCTCACTCACCGCTCAGGGGTGGGAGCCAGGGGGAAGCACATTAGGTCCCCCCTCTTATTCTAGTTTAGGGCCCCCACCCACCACTCAGGGGTGGGGGCCAGGGGGGAGGACATTAGGTCCCCCCCCTTATTCTTGTTTAGGGCCCCCACCCACCACTCAGGGGTGGGGGCCAGGAGGAGGACCTCAGGTCCCCCCCCCCTTATTCTTGTTTAGGGCGCCCACCCACCGCTCAGGGGTGGGGGTCAGGGGGGAGGACATTAGGTCCCCCCCAATTTTTATTTAGGGCCCCCACCCACAGCTCAGGGGTGGGGGCCGAGGGGAGGACAATAGGTCCTCCCCCCCCCTTTTTTACTTTAGGGCCCCCACCTGCCGCTCAGGGGTGGGGGTCAGGGGGGCAACAGGTCCCCCTTTTAGTTCAAAAGCCCCCACTCACACTTTGCGGGTGGGGGCTCAGGAGTTGGGACCTTTTTTTTTTTTTTTAACACTGTTCACTGTTTAATAGACATGCCCCTACTCGCGATATAGCTAGCAGGGTCATAATTTACTAATACTAAGTAATCTTTACTTAGCTCCCTAATACCGTGGGAATTAGGGAGTTATCTATTTATTCATTCCTGTCATTACATGACTGGCTAAGTAACTTACATTTTATATGAATGTGTGTTACTTGATTGTTGTAAGTGTTGCAAACGCTTACAGCTGAATCCTGGCTATGTTTGTATAATTTTTATTTAAAATTGTATACAATGTAACATTCTTCTTCTTTCACTGGGTAAGTATATTAGTACTTAGGCAATACTGTGCTTCGGACCTTCGGCACTTTGACACCTCGGAACTTCGGCAACTTCTGAACTTCAGCACTACTATACTTCGGAAATTCGGTAATTTCGGGACTTCGGCAATTCGGCACTTCAGCAATTCAGCTATTCGGACATTCGGAAGCACCCGAATGTCCGAATTACCCAAAATTCGGCCGAATTTTAATTATACACATTTTGAGACACAGGCACACATACATACACACTGTGACACAGACACACACACAGTCTGACATAAACACTTAAATGTCAAGGCTAATATTTGCAACCACTCTCCTTTATTTTCCAGGAGGATGGCTTGCTTGCGGCTATAGTGTACCTTTAAGTGATCTCAGATTAGGGACAATTGGCTTTGAAACTCCTGTTTTTTTTCTATTACTACCTTTTTTTTGGAAAAGTAGATTATGTAATCATATGCTCAATAGTCAGTGGGCAAACAGCAGGCGAGTCCCTCAGCAACTAGAGTCATATCAAAGAAATGTTCTTCACATCTTTAGTGTTGTAAAAAAATATTAAATTTTACTAATGTGGAAACACAAGAGACAAAGCTGTACATATTAAAACACATGACAAACATCCCACAGTAGTACACAATGTCAAAGTGGCTATGCCTATTTCAGGAGTTTTGCATATATTGCAAAAAATTTTCAAAGGTGACAATCCCGACTGGGGTAAGGCTGAAGCTCGATGTACTTATTAAACTTTTCCACCATCTTTACTTCCTGACATTTCATCTACATAGATTGCATCACTGCTGTACCCTTAGCATGCATAAGAGGTGGAATCCCATGAGAATGTGAAATTTCCATAGACCAATTCTCACAATGTGAAAGAAGCTACAAGTTAAGGAAATTGACAAAAGTTGTCAGCAGAAGTTCTGCCCTTTGTCAACTTTTTGTCAACCCAACCTGGACTTTGCCCCTAAGATGAAGTAGTCCCTTTTTTGTCTCATGATATGTTTTAATTGCATTGCAATTTTAATTAAATTCAAATAGTCATTATGAATATTTCATAAACAATCTATCATCAAAAGTGTAAAATATCTTTGAGGAATATTGAAACTATAGAATAATTAGAGAATAAGGACCCCAAAATATTTTTGCAAAAGTGGCTTTGTTCACATACTGTATGTGTGTTATAATACTATATACTATTTCAATCATGTTTTCAAATCTTGTACTGAATTATTAGGGTCACCTTGGTAAGCAGGGATCTTACAGCTAATCCTTGGTCAGGTGGATGATGTCATCCGTTCATTATTTGCTATAATGCACTGTTTGACCAACATGTGCATACATGTCCCAGCCTGCTATATAGATAGCTAGGAATTGAATTTCTGGGCAGCAGCTGCTATTTGCAGTCGTTATTTTAATCCAGCCCTCTCCCAAGTTTTTGCAGGAGCTGAGCTGTCAAGACAGAACAGTGTATTACTGTTTCCCCACCTACTCCATCAGCATATTACTATCGCAAGCTGAAACCAGGGAAATCTACATTGTCCTCAATTACAACTGTACATTAATTACATTATATTGTAATGTAGCAGATTTCACTTCTGAGTACTTATGGGTTAACGGTATTACTGCAGAGTCATATGTTCTACCTTCAGGTCTATTTTGAGATTTATTTTATTATCAATATTACTTAAGAAGCCTTGGCGAGCTTGCATGTACAGGTTGACACAAAAAGTCAGACAACTAAACGATCAGCCAACATTATACAGTTTAGTACATATTTAACTGCTCTTGTTATTTTTTCCACGCTGGCCTTTCATGATAATAAGAGATAAGAGGGACAAGGTGCATCTTACATCATGCACAAACCAAAGGACTTAAATGAACCGACAATGCCTGTATATTTAGCTGGTTAGTGAAGGTATCAGGAGACAGATTTGAATGTTGTTATTTATAACAACTGGAACAATTCATACGACAATATAAATTAAATATTGTATATTTCAATTCATATAAATTGGGTCCAGCATCAGAAGTTTACTTCCAAATATCTTAATGAATCTTCAAACTGTGAAAGCAGTCTTACATGGGCTTTACTTCGGAAGTGATTTCCTTTTTAGTGTGTATATGGTTGCCAGCCATTTAGAAATATAGTAAAATTCATCTTGACCATTTCCTTCAACAACCAAAGTTTTCCCTTAAGAGACCATTGACAATCTAGGCCTTCATCATAATCTACTACTTGTAGGCTATTCTGTGCCTGAGTAAGCCATCAAATGTCATTGTAGTCCATTCCTAATAAGAGTAGACAATTCCATGTCAGAGAGGTCCAGTACACATAAGAGAGTAGGCCATTCTATATCAAAGTTAGGTATGTAAAGACCAGATTATTATGATGAAAAAAGACCAAAGGTCATTAATACTAACAGGTCAGCATACTATGATCACTGCAAGAGATAAAATGGTCCAACTCCCTTGATGAAGCTGGTCTAGCCAAGTTACAGTGTCTTTATATCTTGTCCACATCTTTTGTGAGAGAGAGAGGAAGCACTGTGACTGGAGAATCAACGGGAGAGTCAGGAGCAGAAGCAGGATGGGAAGGAGTAACAGAGGTGGAGGCATGATTAACAGGATGGCATCCACCCAGTGGTGAAATCGGTGAGATTTAAAGCTATGTACATGTGAATATGTGTATGACTGTGACTGCAAACTGGATCTGTATGTGTGTGTAATCGATATGACTGTGAAAATACTTGACTGTCAGTGTGTTTGCACATATTTGTGTTATGTGTGAATGTATGCCTCTCCATGACTCAGTGCAGTGCCCGTATGTGTGTTAGCTGTGAGTCTGTTTCTGTATGCCTCTATCTCTGTAGACCGGGGAGTGGGGGGCAACTCTGTTACAGCAATGTAAGTGGGGGGCCTGGGGAGAATATGGAAGTACATTTAGGAGAGAGGTAAACTGCAGGAAACAATGGGTTTTTAGATTGGAAGTGAGGAATTAGTTGCAGGGCACTATAAAGATCTACATTGTGTAATGGGGTAATTTTCAGGGAACTGTTGGGATGTAAATTGTAAAAAAGGGTTAATTGGCTTGTTAAAATCTGCATGCGATTATTAAGGAGAAGAGCAATACTGCCAGAGGATGCAGGGATGTATGTTAGTGCTTACATTCTATAATGTAGTCTTTGTGGTAGCAGGAGTCCCCTAACACCATTTTACAGTAAACCATGTAACAATGAAGCCCATACTGCTTCCAATCTGACTAGCTATGCTAAAGCAGAACTTCATACTTCTACATTATCATACCAGCTCACCGGCTTTTTATTTCAACCTGTCGTTTACGTAAGGTGTGCAATTACACAACCCTATAATCAGAGCAATAGCTCAAAATCATCCTTGAAGAAGCACTAGATATTTAGGTTTTTTAAATCATAATTTGTTTATTAAATTGTGTCACAGTAATAAAAATAATATATACAAATATATTAGAAAATACAATAAACAGTGGTAGTGTCATACATCACATGCTTGTGGTCTTGGAAAGCCAGGCAATCAGCACTTGGAAAAAAAAACATTCAAGGTTCAGCAAAATCATTATTTAAATAAAGTCTTTGGAAATATATCATAAAAGACACATATTGTTCATTGTCCACAGTGACTCTTCATTTCCATCCAGACCTTTACCTTGTCACTTAGGAATTGTAACATGATTTCAATGGATGGAGGCCTATCACATCTGTCTTTATAATATAAAACTTAAGTGCATAATCTTTGGTAAGCGATCTACAGCTTGGTGTGCAATATATTCATATTTTTGGAAGTAGTCCAATCAAAGCAGCAGCAGTTCTTTGTCCATTTGTAAAAGGCCTGGACATACCAAAAGATGGTGTAACGTCAATATGGCCACTAGAATCGTGGAACAGGTTGCTCAGATCGCTATATTCATCTAGCTGAAGATATTGCAATCACTATCATCATCATAAGAAATGACCTACTGGGCAAGTGATGGAAGATCTTGCAATTTTATAATTTGTGCAAATGATTTTGAGGCATTTAGGTGTTTATTCTTTTCTGCCAGATCTAAATGCCTACGAGACAAGCCAGCTTCTCTCTGTATTTATTTAAATTTGGAAGTCTTTGGAGGCTGTTAGCTGCACCCACAAGCTTCCACAATCATATCTGGAACATCAGTCTTTACAATATTGCTGTTTCCATCAAAGAAAAGCATGGAAAGAGGCCGCCTTTTAGTGGGAACGCAACAAGAGTTGCCCACTGACTGGACATTGTTGGCCTTTATGATATTTAAGACAGTGGTGTGGAATGATGCAGCCATGCCTGGGGCACCAGCTATGTGCAATGGGCAGAGACCTTTGCAGTAATTAATCTGGTACCCCTCTGGTTTAATAATCCAATCATTCCACCCAATGTCCTTAAAGTGTACATAAAAGTCTTTCCTGCAACACAGGTTGGAGTTCTGATCACATTTGAGACTTCTTTTGGTGGCATGATGGTTTTTCTCCCTTACTTTAGCTTGGGCAACCAGAAAAGGCTGATGGGAGTCATCGGGGTTGGCCAGGACTGGCATGTCCTCGCAACCCTCACAGTTGAGTTCTAGTTGTAAACTTCTGTTTCCTCCATCAAAGACTTTCTGTAGCATTTGTTTCAATGAAAATGTTTGCCAGCCTGTCCATCTTGGTTCCAGGGTTCTTTCACTTATCAATGTACGCTGAGAAAACTCTTCTTGGACCAGATATAATTTTAATGTTTGGTTGGGCTGCGTAGTCCTGTTAGATCTGAGAAAGATCCAGAGATGTGCCTGGAGAACATGCACATTTTGCTCTTCATCTCTTGCAAACTGAAAATTCAGTATAGTACCTGATCCATTGATATATTCTGAAAAAGAAGAAATATAAACATTAGCATTTGTTTATGTTTGTATCATCCTTGCATGTTTAACATATATAACTGCCTTATACTTTTTTATGAATCAATACACTGCATATAATCTTTGTAGCTGAATTTAGAGTTATGAAATAGTTTGTCTTACTTCAATCTCAGTGAGTTGTTATATTCCCTCTAGTTATAGCCATAATACATTTTATAAAGGTTAACTTATAACATGTATATTCTAGTTTCTTGCTCAGAGGTTATCTATTACTAATTTGTCAACAAGCAACTGTGATAAATGCAAAGAACTGATACTGACTATTTGCATAGTATGACATTTTTAATAACTGATATTTTCCACTATATGTCACTCTTGTTTCTTTTCAGAATTCTTTTTATTATAATTTTTACTAGTTAGGAATAATATGTTAACAAATTGCATGACTCTTTACATTTAGAAATGAATGAAAACAAATTTCAATCTACATAAAAGTTTAATTGTCACTAGTTTATGTCTTTGACAAATTGGTTTAAAGGAACACTATAGTCACCAAAACAACTTTAGCTTAATGAAGCAGTTTTGGTGTATAGATCATTCCCCTGTAGTCTCAGTGCTCAATTCTCAGTAATTTAGGAGTTACATCACTTTATTTATGTAGCCCAAGTCACACTCCCTGCATGTAACTTGCACAGCCTTCCTGAACACTTTCTTTAAAGAATCTTCTAATGTTTACACTTCCTTTATTGCAAATTCTGTTTAATTTAGAATTTCTTATCTCCTGCTATGTTAATAGTTTACTAGACCCTACAGGAGCCTAAGTTTAATTTCCAGATAAAATTTTTTGTAAAGCACGATACCTCGGATTGAAAATGAAATCATTTTGTTTTCATGTAGGCTTATGCCAGTCACAGCCAGGGGAAGTGTGGCTAGAGATGCATAAATAGAAACAAAGGTGATTTAACTCCTAAATGGAGGATAAGTGAGCAGTGAGATTAGTGAGGCATAACCTGACAAAAACTACTTCATTAATCCAAATTTGTTTTAGTGACTATAGTGTACCTTTAAGCATCCCATTACAAAATGGAAGCAATGAAATATAGAAGCGAAAATAAGTTGTGTTCTGTCCAAAGTGTTACAGGTTTTTTTTTCTTATCATCCCTAGTAACTGATTTCAATTAACCATCATAATAATCTTTCTAACATGAACTCTGCTCACAGCCAGATTAACTATAAGACAACCTTAAATTGCTTCTCATGGCCTGGGGGTAGGCAGTATTAGGTACAGTGGTCTAGGTACCATGAAGATGCTTGATCAAACAGTGTTATTCACAACCCGGAATAAAGAAAGGGGAAGTCAGACTGGGAACCTGCACCTTACTCTCTGGGATCCTATAACCTTCATTTGACTCTACCTAATCAATTATATAATGTGGTGTCACACACAGACATTGCAAAATAAGTACAGTTTAAGTACCAAGTACTGTTTGTTATTGCTTCACAATAAAGTAAAGAAATGTGACACATTGTTAGGCTCCTGTTTCCAATAAATCTAAATTTTTATGTGCCTATCCGGTTGAACCTGTGGATTCTTTGGTATTGACTAATTATTAAAGTTGACAAATCTCTACCACAGTGTACCAGGTTAGACATTGATTGCTTATTCTTTTCCGTGGAATACCAAACCCCTCATTGCATTGGCACGTGGCTTGAAAACTTTAGGCTATTACTTGACCTTTTGAAAAATATTGCTGACTCCGAATCCATTTTTTGCCCTCAACTCTAAAATGTGAAAGATGGCCATTTAGTCACTACGATCTGTGTTTAGTCAAGAGATTCCCAGGCATGGTTCAATTGATCACTCATCATTTTAGCCATGGATAATACATAATTAGCACAGTAAATAAATAAATGATGCCTGATTTAGTGTGATTCTAGTTTGGCACCTTTAAATGAAATATTTCTACTCAGTAAGCAGAATAAACCGGAACTCTCTTAAGAGTCCAGCCTGCTATTGTGGAAAATAAATAGGCAATAAACTGGTGAGAGAGTAATTGTAAAAAAAAAAACAACTAATTTCTGAACAAAACTTCTAAAATAAACACTATTTGTAATAATATTAAGATCAGTTTGGAAACAAACATTTTGGTTTTATGGATTCTCTGTGAGTTACCACCATAAACAAAGTGATTTAATGCCTAAATAGCAGAGAATTGAGCATTATCTATACACCAAAAAAAAAAAAAAAAAAGCTAAGGTTGTGTTGGTTCTGAGAGTATTATAGGCAGACAATGTAATAGAGCAGCAGGAAATGCTAGCAGAATGCTTGGTTGTATAGGGAGAGGTATTAGCAGTAGAAAGAGAGAAGTGCTCATGCCATTGTACAGAACACTGGTGAGACCTCACTTGGAGTATAGTACACAGTACTGGAGACGGTATCTTCAGAAGGATATTGATACCTTATAGAGAGTTCAGAGAAGGGCTACTAAACTGGTTCATGGATTGCAGGATAAAACTTACCAGGAAAGGTTAAAGGACTTTAACACGTATAGCTTGGAGGAAAGACGAGACAGGGGGGATATGATAGAAACATTTAAATACATAAAGGGAATCAACACAGTAAAGGAGGAGACTATATTTAAAAAAGGAAAAACTACCACAACAAGAGGACATAGTCTTAAATTAGAGGGACAAAGGTTTAAAAATGATATCAGGAAGTATTACTTTACTGAGAGGGTAGTGGATGCATGGAATAGCCTTCCAGCTGAAGTGGTAGAGGTTAACACAGTAAAGGAGTTTAAGCATGCGTGGGATAGGCATAAGGCTATCCTAACTATAAGATAAGGCCAGGGACTAATGAAAGTATTTAGAAAATTGGGCAGACTAGATGGGCCAAATGGTTCTTATCTGCGGTCACATTCTATGTTTCTATAATTCCTAATAATGCCTGTAAAGTTATAGCATTTCCCTGTTATGAATTTTATTGCTGCAAAGACATTTTGTTTAGTGAAAGTTTGTAGAAGAGAGAATTAAAAATGCACTCAGAGCCATATTCTGATTGGCTGCTACTTGATGCTGTTAGACAATCAAAATACATCTAAAAGTGAACTCTTGGTCAATGACCAGAAAATTCATAGATAAGGATATATTAATGTCTGCCTCCTTTATGTTGTAAAGTGCAAAGGCATTTGGATAATGAAACAGATTAGCTAGATGACTTCCTAATATATTTAAACCCCCCTACATGTTCGCATAACTATGTATAGATATAAAGAATTCTAGGTTATGTTTTTTACATGAGATACACGTTGGAAGAGACAGATAAGCTGACTCATACATATGATGCAAATGGCACAGCCAGCCTTAAATCGAATGTCTGTCTGCTCTTGGTGACCCTATAAAGAGTTCAACGTCTGTCTGCTTAACACATTTCACTAAATCTTTAGCATTTTGGTTGAGACAGGAAAGAAAATGAAGGAGTCAAATGAAATTGTGTGAACAGGTGTTTGTGAAACATGCAGGCAAGGAAACAACAAAACATCACCCAAACACACATATAAAAACAGGGGGGGTTATTCAATTGGCAACATTGTCTTACCTGATTCTGCAAAGCTTATGATCTCATAGCTCTGTTGGTCCATCTCCACGCTGTCTGTGTTACTGTCCCAGCTGGTGGAGCCAAACAGACCTTCCATTTTTGATTTGGTTAGGTGCAGTCTGCGCAGTGCATTAGCTACCGCTCCCCTGGGGATTGGGTGGGTGATGTTGGGTCTTTCCTTGAGGTGTAACTTCTCTAAGATTTGCTGCTTGGCTAGTTCTATCATTACATCTTTGTCCTGGACTCCGCAAGATGGACATTCGTTTTTTTTGTCGCCTCCTTGAGTAGAAACTGCCCAAGCACCTAGCATGGTTAGCAGGTAGAAGCAGATACCTTCTCTCTGGGACCTGGGAGCCATCTGAGATGAAGCTTCACAAAGAGAGTCTTGAAAGGGAAATGATGATACTTTGTATCTTGCCCTGGATCTGGTCTCTTGCTCCTTCTCCTTCTCAGAGCGTGTTCAGCTGTGGTCCTAAAGAGTCAGCATCCTGCTTTTAAGAGCGATCTGGTCCAGCATTAACAGTCATGTGGCTACTGAGACTGGGATAATCTCCAGGACTCCCCCCTGTCAGATGACACAGGTCAACCATATAAAATCAGAAGAGCTAATGCAGTACTCCCAGGTACCTCAACCTGCAGCACATGTGATGGAGAAGTGGTTCAGGGCTGAATCAGGAGGATTATGGGATAGATGTGATAGGACTTTCCTTCTACTCCAGCTAGCCTGTAGATGATTGCAATAAAATCTACCAGTCCACACTGGACATGTCTCAATAAGATGCAGAACTGGCAAAGGTGTAAAAAGAAGGAAATTTCTCTTAGACAGTGTGTGTGCAGAGTCTAAATGCCTTTCCTTAGCAAAATATCTCTGTTGAAGAAACTAACCTGCACCATGAGAAGATACCTGTGGATTGTTGTCTCTCCCTCTTGTCACACTGCCCTATATATTGCAGCTCAGTGATACACACCCTGCCCCCTCCCCTTAGTCCTGCATAAATCTCTCATTAAGCTCCTGTTCACTCTGGGTGTTATTTACACTTCCCTTTGGCACTGTGATTTGGAGCCTCCTGTTATCATAGATTGGTTGCTTCATCCCTCCCTTTTATTTACCCCCCTCCCTTGTCAAAGCCAATAGCCACGTGGAGAACAAGGTGCTCGATATAGGGCAAAGATGGGTGATTTAAAGCAGGGTTGATGCAATAATGGGGATTGAATTTCAAGAATGGGGAATGAATCTTTAGATCACTAAAGAATGCATAAAAACAGTTTGTAATGCAGACTGCATTACTGGAGGCTTCTGGGTCTTTTTGAGATGTCAGTGTACCTCAGTGCATTAATAAAGTAAAAGTATAAATTTGTTCAGGCTCAGGTACTGTGAAGTGAGCTAGTTACATTGTACCAAGTAACCTGGAGCCAGCAATAGATCTTGCACAATGGATCTACAGAGCACTTTGCCACTTGGAATACAGCAGTATTTATTGATTGATAAACAGCATGATAAAACATCTTTGGGACAACAGTGCAATGGGACTAAATCTACTAAAGTAAACTGCCAATATTCTGAAAATAGTCACTTTGAATGTGATGTTAGATGTAATTTTAAATATATGGGGTTAACTAGAGTATTGTTTAGAGGGGCATTATATTAGGAGGTAGCATTCTCTGAAATCCCTAATTCCACGTGTATGCCTAACCGACTGTTATTAATTATTATTATTATTATTATTATTATTACTTATAAAGTTCTATCAAATTGCACAGTACTATGCAATAGGTGGACTTGCAAACAAGCATTTGCAAGACCAGTCAACAGTAAGGCACCTGCATCAGTGCTGTGAACTACAACTCTTATCATTTGCAGCCAGACAAAACCATCATTAGTATTATGTTAAGAGACTTAAGACCAGATTTAGAAAGTATTTATGATCTCAAGATGCAGTACTCTTTCATTTTCTAAGGAAGCCTAGTTGAGGGTGATGGATGGTCAAATTCACAGGATCAACAGTTGGATGTCAGGTTATGGAATATCCAGAGGGTTAGGGGGTACACCAGCACTCACAATGCTTTTAAATGAGCACTCTAAGAACCCTAACTGCTTTTTACAGTGGTTACCATGTCAGAATCACCAGGAGTGTCCTGACCCTGTCACCAAGGTGAAAAGAAATTTTTGATTGTGGCCATACACAATCCCTTCTAAGATACTGATTCACTTGAGAAAGCACACTTTTCAAGAATGTTAAATTTCATAAAAAATTCGAAATAAAATCAAATGCAAACCTCCCAAAATGGGTAGAACAGTCTATGCCAATCTATAGGGCTGATCTATTAATTTTTACTGCTATTCACTAAGCAACGTATTGTAGAGCAAGCATGTCAAACTCAAAGGCTAACATGGCCAAATAAACAAGGTTTAAGTTTATGTGGGCTGCAAAAGAAAAAAAACTTACATAGGGCTTCAAAGTAAACAAAAGAGCGGATTTATTTTAAGGAAATGCATTTGCATATAACCAATGTTTCAGTCCAACTACCTTGACATATTAAGAAATGTTTGGTAATGGGACTGAAATAGTGAATGTATGCTGTTGTACAGCTGTAAAGTACAAATCTAGTTGATTTGGAAGCTCTGTGAGGGTGTTCTTCACTTTGGCTGAGATCATCAAACTTGATGATCTCAGCCAATACAATATTTTGCTATAGGAAATCATTGGGAGGCTATTGTGCATGTGTGGCAAAAAGCTGCACGGCCAATCAGCATCTCCATGAGAAGTTTTCAGCGCCTCCATGCAGACCCAATAGAATACACTGTCCCCCTCCCCCTATTGTAATACACTGTCCACAAATACAATACATTGTCCCCAAATACAATACACTGCCCCTAAATCCAATACACTGCCCCCAAATCCAATACACTGCCACCTCCCTCCTCTCTTATAAACTGCCCCCTCCACCCAATCTAATACACTACCCATTAATCTAATACACTGCCCCCTACACTCTACTACACTTCCGCTAAATCTAATTCACTACCCTCACTCCCACCACTCTAATTGAATACATTGCCCTACCTCTCCCCAATTTAACACACTGCCCCACCACCACCACTCTAATACACTGCCTCCACCTCCCACCACTGTAATACACTGTCCACTCCTTTCCCAATTCAATACACTGGCCCCATTCCTCCCCCAAATTAATACACTGATCCCCCTGCCTCCCCCAAATTAATACACTGCCACTCCCTTCCCCCAATTTTATACACTGCCCTTCCTCCCCCCAATTTAATACACTACCCTCCTCCCTCCCCCAATTTAATACACCGTCCTCCCCAATTTAACACACTGCCCCCCTCCCACCACTCTAATACACTGCCCCGTCCTTCCCAATTTAATACATGTCTCCCCTCCCCCAAATGAATACACTGCACCTTCCCTCCCCAAGTAATACCCTTCCCTCCCCCTATTTAACACACTGCCGCTCCTCCCACCACTCTGATACACTGCACCTCCCACCACTCTAATACACTGCACCCTCCCTCACCCAATACCCTGCCCTCCCCCAATTTAACACACTGCCCCTCCTCCCACTCCTCCAATACACTGCCCCCTTCCACCACTCTAATACACTGCCCCTTCCCTCCCCCAATACCATGCCCTCCACCAATTTAACACACTGCCCCTCCTCCCACTACTCTAATACATTGCCCACTCCCTCACCCAAATTAATACACTGCCCTCCCCCCAATTTAACACACTGCCCCTCCTCCCACTCCTCCAATACACTGCCCCCCTTCCACCACTCTAATACACTGCCCCTGCCCTCCACCAATTTAACACACTGACTCCCCCTCCCACCACTCTAATACACTGCCCACTCCCTCCCCCAATTTAATACATTGATCACCTCCCAGCCTCAAATTAACACACTGCCCTCCCTCCCCATTTTAATAAACTGGCCCCCACCCTACCTCAAATTAATACACTGCCCCCTTCCTCCCCCAATTTAATACACTGTCCACTGCCTCCCCAATTTAACACACTACACAGGAAGCCCCTCTTACCCTACCTTAAGATGAGCCGTCCTCCAGTTCCAGCTCTGCTCTTGTCTCTTCAAGCAGGGCAGACGCTCCTCTGGCACCGTGGGAAGGAAGATAAGAATCAGTCGCAGCCAGGGCAGAAAGCGGCCCCTAGGGCAGGAGGGCTGCAAAGATAATCAGTGTGTCCTACAAGTTTGGCATGCTTGTTTTTTTTCAACATTTTGCCATTTGGATTTATTTCACTAAAATTTGGTGTTTAATGAACAACTTTGTTTGAATTCCGAACAATTAACACTCAAGTGAATAGCTCTGATAGGATTTTCTACAACATGCTGCTTAATCCATCATTTCAGTAAGCATGGAGAACAAAGGTCATGTGTAGACTCTTTTTTTTTCGGTTTCACTCCACTGATCAATAATCATATCACAATGTTACATGCTGCTGGGTGAGAGCTTTCAAATCTGCAGTTGCAAACTTTTTAGCTCTTCCTGGTATGTGCAAAGTAATGACAAATGTTTTACTGCAATCTGAAACTGGTTGAGAAGACTGTCCTCAATGAACTTTCAACAGGCCAAGAGCAAACGCTGGTTAAGGGATACTACGGAGTAGTAACAGAACATGCCCATGATATACTTATATTGTGGAAATAATTCACTAAATTAGGTGTACGAAATACCGTGCGGCCTCTACATTAATGTAAATTGGTTAGATGTTAATTTATTTGATTAATTTACTTTAATTCATCTGAAGTCCAGAAAGCAGAACAGAGCTGAGGAATGCAGAGATTTGGCATGACGTGATGACAGGTGGGGTTGAGGAGCAAGAAAGAGGTGCTGATCCAAAGGTGATTCCCCCCGATTGCTTGTTTGCTCTCACCACCTGTCATCAAGTCGCACCCAAGCCCTGCCATCTTCAGCTATGTTTAGTTCGCTAGATTCCAGACCATAGGCGTGCGCAGCCTATTGCATTAGGGTGTGCACCCTAAAGCACAAGCACACGCCGCATATATATATATATATATATACACACACACACTGCTGTGTGTGTGTGCGTGTGTGCTGTGTGAGGGTGCTGTTAGTGTGATGTGTGTGTGACGGTGCTGGTAGTGTGCTATGTGGGTGAGGGTGTTTGTGTGTGCGCTTGTGAGGGTGCTGTTAATGTACTGTGTGTGAGGGTGCTGTTTGTGTGTGAGGGTACTGGTAGTGTGCTGTCTGTGTGTTTATTAGGGTCCTGTTTGTGTTTGTGAGGGTACTGTTAGTGTTTGTGAGGGTGCTGTATGTGTGTTGGTGCTGTGTGTCTGTGGGTGCTGTGTATGTATGTGGGTGCTGTGTATGTCTGTGGGTGCTGTGTGTGTGCTGTGTATGTCTGTGGGTGCTGTATGTGTGTGGCTGCTGTATGTGTGTGGGTGCTGTGTATGTGTGTGGGTGCTGTGTATGTGTGTGGGTGCTGTGTGTGCTGTGTATGTGTGTGTGTGCTGTATGTGGGTGGGTGATTGTGGGGGTGGAGGTGGGGGTACATTAATTGCTATCCCCCCTCCCTTCTTACCTTTTGTAGGGAGGGGGGATCGTGCTGCTGCTTTCCCTGGTGGTCCAGTGGAGAGTGAACTCTAGCCCCCTGTGGGGCTAGAGTTCACTCTCGCGAGATTTGAGCGTTGCCGTGGCAACACTCATTTCTCGCGAGAGGAACCCGGCGGAGCTGCCGGCAATAGCTCCGCCGGGTCCTCTCCTGCCTCCCTCCCTGCATGTGGATCAGTGGGGAAGGAGGCTGAGAGCAGAGCCGGCGCTCGGATAGCGCCGGCTCTGCATGAGCCGACAGGGGAGATCCTGAGATCTCCCCTGCCGGTCTCAATATACATAGGCGTGCCGCGGGGATTAGGGTGTGCCCAGGCACACCCGGCACACCCCGTGCGCACGCCTATGTTCCAGACCGATTAAATTACATAAAAAAATAACACTAAGTGAAACAAATTAATATCTGACCAATTACATTAACACCGGGAGCTGCATAGCAAAGTGACAAAGCTACCTGTATTTTATGCATATGATATAAATACATTGTGCGCAAAATTTAGTAAATCTATCCCTCTATAGAGGTATTTCAGGCACTCAATTTACCATGATATACTTTAGGTATAATAAGAGCAAGTTCTGTTAAGTAGTGACAAGGATTTACTAAATTATGTGTACAGTTTTTAAAAAGATGCTTAATGGCTCCTCTGGGGCTCTACAGAATATAGTTAGAAATCTTAAGCAATCAGATTGATTGCTTTTTTATTAAAAAAAACCCCATTAAAAACAGTAAGTAAAAAAAATAAATTTAAAATCAGTAATCTATTGTTCAAAGTAATCCTTAAAGGTCAGATCTCACCACTCCTGTATTGGCAAAAGGTTTCCTTGGAGTGCCTTGTGCCCCGGCATTCAATGAAGCAGGACCTGCTATGAAATCAGATAGTGATGCATTGGGATCACGGCAGCAGGTCCACAGACATCTCTCATGAGGTTATAATGTGTATACCAAGGCACTCCAAACCTGTGCCAATACAGGAGTGGTGAGATCTGACCTTCAAGGATTACTTTGAACAATAGATGACTGATTTTTCATTTTTTTGTTTATTTAAACACGTGTACACACAGGGACATATATACACACACATATTTATTTATTTATTTTATTTTTTTTGCAGCCTTTTTTTCTTTTTCTTTTACTTATTGTTTTTCATTTGTCAATTTTTATATGCAAGGCTTTCATATTGGAGCTATGCCAAGAATCCCCATTTCTTTGGATTTGCTCAGCTCATTGTGGTCACTAATTCTTATGACTATTACTAGTACTAAAGGACTGTGCTTTTGTGGTGTAGTAATCATGCCCATCAGGGATTTTTACCATTTACTTATGAGTGGATGTATTCACGTTAGAATTAACCGATGTACTTTTCTTAGTACTTAGTACTGGTTTTTGTTTTTTGTCCTTTTTCTTGTGCAACTTTAGTAGTGAAGTATATGTGCTATATCACAATTGCAGAGTATATCAGGCTACAAATTACCTATACTAATTTGCAAACTCTGATATTAAAAGCCTGTCTTTCTTTGCATACATTTTTGAGTGTGGTATAATCGTTATAAGTTTAGTCAAAAGAATGGTCAATAAAGTGAAGAAAATAGGTCATCATTCTTCACATACAAGAAACAGGATACAAAAAGATGACAAAGGCATGAATGTTCCTGAATGTTGGAAGCATAGTTTACAAGTTCAAAGTTGAAGGAACAGTGGTTACACACCTGGACAGGGCAACCGTATCAATGGCTGCAACCAGATTTCTGAGAAGGCAAGTTGTGAAAAACCCTTGAGTGAGTGCAAAAGACCTGAAGAAAGACTTGCTGGCAGCAGGCACTGAGGTTTCACTGAGTAGAGGCATTGAGGTTTCAGGGAGAACAGTTAGTCGCGTACTAAACGCAGAAGGCTTTTTTTATGCCTGAACTCCAAGATGTATACTACTACTAACCAATAAGTACAAGAAAAGTTGGCTCCAATATGCTCAAAAATCATGTAAATAAGCCACGGAAGTTTCTGGATTCTGTTCTGTGGAGCAATGAAACAAAAGTGGAACTTTTTTGCACAATGGATCAGCAGTGTCTGGAGGAAGAAGAATGAAACATACACTGAAAAGAACACTCTGCCTACAGTTAAGCATGGTGGTGGCTCCAGTGGTGCATCCTGGTTTTGTGCTGCCCTAGGCAGGACAAATCTCAGGCGGCCCCCGCTCCCCTCTGCGCCAGCCCCACCCAACCTTTCCCCCGCCCCGCCTTCTAAATACACACACACACATTCACTGACAGATACGCATACACACACTAACAGACACACACACTCACTAACAGACACACACACACACTCTAACAGACACACGCACACTAACAGACACACAGACACACACACACTAACAGACACACACACACAGTCAGACACACATAGACACAGTCAGACACACACACTAACAGACACACACACACACTAACAGACACACAGTCAGACACACACATACACACTAACAGACACAAACTGTCAGACACACACACACACAGTCAGACACACACTAGCAGACACACTCACACAGTCAGACACACACACACACACTCACATTAACACATTTTTTTTTTATTTACCCCCCCCCACCCCTCCTTACCTTTGGCTGGGCTGGGCGGGCGGCTGGCGAAGGAGCTCTTCCTCTGAGCTGTCCGTTCAGCTCCCTCGCGCGCCGCAGAGTGAGGCTGGGAGCCGGAAGCCCGGCATGTCTGTTAGCCGCAAGGCTAACAAGGCATTTGCCCTGGGCATTTGGGGGCGGCGTTTTTTGCTACCCCCTGAAAATTCCGCCCAAGGCAAATGCCTTGTTTGCCTTGCGGCTAAATTGCCCCTGGATGGCTCGGTGATGCTCTGGGGCTGCTTTGCATCCTCTGGCACTGGAAACCTGCAGTGTGTGGAAAGCAAGATGGATTCATTGAAGTATCAGAAAAACCTAGGAGAAAATGCCATGCTGTCTGTGAGGAAGCTGAAGCTCGTGTGTCATTTACATTCCAACAAGACAATTATTTAAAGCATACCTCAAATTTCCCAAGGCTTGGTTGCAGAAGAAGTCCAGGAACATTCTACTGTGGCCATCAGAGTCACCTGACTTGAACCCTATTGAAAATCTCTGCTGGGATTTGAAGACTGGAGGCCATTGCTCATAAGCAATGGGCTAAAATTCCTTAGGAACGCTGCCAGAAGCTGGTGTCTGGCTATGCATCTAGTTTGCAGCACCAAAGTATTAAGGATGCTTGCCATGAAGGGGTTGAATAATTTTAAAACTGATGAAGTCATTAAAAGTTGCATTTTCAGTTGATTTTGGGGAAACCACTTGAAGCATTCATTGTGTTGAGCTATTTCAATTGTGTTTGCTTGATTTGTTCATTGCAAACAGCAGAAAGTCTGTAAATGTTGACAAGAAACCTGATTTTCAATGGGGGTTTAATAATTTTGATTACAATTGTGTGTGTGTGTATATATATGTATTTATATATATTAGCAACATTGTTACATATTCATGTCCTCTTTTTGGATTAAGTAAAGCTATGTTTTAAGTAATGCCCAAGGATGTACATTGCACATTGAAAAAAAATCAGTACACCAGGATTTATTTTTTAGTCACTGGCGCACATACTGCGGTCCAAGGGGCCCGGCTGCCCTGCGACACGGGTATTTTGCCAGCCTCTTCTCCTGGGGGGGCCCCACGAGACTGGCAGAGGCGTCACCTTCCGGGCAGGCGCGCGCACGAGGGAGCATTCTCCTCTGAGCTCTCTCTGCCCAGCTCCCTTGCACGCACCGCAGTGATGCCGGAGCCGGAATATGAAGTCACTCCGGCTCTGGCATCAGTAAGCAGCGCGCAAGGGAGCTGAACAGGAGGATCAGTGATCCCTTGCCACCTGCAGTGACATGCCGCCCAGCAGCCCCACTGGACCACAGGGAAAGCTGGAATCCCCTCAGCACTCCCAAAGGTAGGGAGTCTGGCGGATTAAAATTTTTATTTTTTTTTTAAATGTGAGTGTGTGTGTGTTAGTGTGTGTGTGTGTCAGTGAGTGTGTTTCTGTGTGTGTGTCTGTTACTGAGTGTGTTAGTTTGTGTGTGTCTGTTATTGAGTGTGTGTGTCTGTTAGTGAGTCTGTTTGGTGTCTGTTAGTGAGTGTGTGTCAGTGAAAGTGTATGTTTTGTAAGTGAGTGTGTATGTATGTCACTGAGGGTGTGTCTGTCAGTAAATGTGTGTGTCTGTTAGCTTGTGTGTACGTGTCTGTTAGTGAGTGTGTGTTAGTGAGAGTGTATATGTGTTTGTCAGTGAGTGTGTATGTGGCTCTGTCACTATGAGTGTGTGTCTGCATGTGTGCCTGTATGTGGGTCTGTATGTTTATCTCTTGGTCTGCATGGGTATCTGTTTGTCTGTATGTGTATCTTAATGTTTGTCATTAAAGGACCACTATAGTGCCAGGAAAACAAACTTGTTTTCCTGGCACTATATAGTCCTTAGGTCCCCCCTTGTTGCCCCCTCCCGCTGGGCTGAAGGGGTTAAAACTAGCTCCCTTGGCGCTGGGGATCTCTCCGCCCCGATCAGCCTCTTAGCTCCGAATGCGCATGCCGCGCACACAATCAAACCGCCCATAGGAAAGCATTACTCAGTGCTTTCCTATGGACGCCCAGCGTCTTCTCACTGTGATTTTCACAGTGAGAATCGCGGAAGCGCCTCTAGCGGCTGTCAGTGAGACAGCTACTAGAGGCTAGATTAACACTCAGTGAAACATAGCCCACGCAATATATGTGCCGGGACGACGACCCATGGATCAGTTTTCGCACCGGGGCCCCATGGATCGTGTGTACGCCACTGTTTTTAGTCCTACCTTTTCTAAGCTCTAAAAGAGTGGAAATCACCAGACTTCAGTATAAGCAGCAGTACATTCCATTGGTTATCACTACACTTTTGTAAGTTTACATCATGTTAGAAAACGACACTTTGATAAATCTCCATCTTTTTGAGCACTTTACATAGTATGTGTTATTAATTTCTGAATGCAAATTCAGAGACAATGGAAACATTCTTCACGTACGTATAGTCTTTAAACTTTACTATTGTTGTGACACATGTGTAACACATTCCAAAGAGTGCAAATAGCCCAAGCGACCACCAGGAAATCAGTTGTTTACGAATTGATTTATAGGGAGTTCCCTATACTAACCCTGCTTAAATCCAAGCTGTATTTTTATTTTTCATTCTTGGCTTCCATACATCAGTTTATTGGAACCCTCCTTTTGGATTTACGAACTGCTACTTGGCAAAAATGAATAACTGGACAACAACCCATTTCCATATGATACCACTGACAAAATAATTTCCCTTGGCTAATCAAAATTGTTGCTGGAATAATACCCTGGGGCAGAGGCGTAACTAGAAGCCCCAGGTGCCCCGGTGCGAAAATTGCCCTGGCCCCCCCCCCCATTCCCATACGTGTCATACACACACAAAGAGACACACATGTACAGACATACACACATACAGACAGACAGACACACTCACACACACAAATACAGATACACAGACATACACACACACAGACATACACACACACACACACACACACACAGACACAGACATACACAGACACATAGATACAGACACACATTCATACAGATACATACACAGACACATACATATAAACACACATACATACATACAAACACATACACATACATACAAACACATACACATACATACAAACACATATACAAAATGTTTAAGTCACCCTCCTGTTTCCTACCTTTTAGATGTAGGAGGGGACTTCCCTGGGGTCCAGTGGTGACTCAGAATGATGGGAGTCAGAGTCCCCACTCTGACTCCCTCCTCTCCTTCCTCCTGCGCAGCTCCCGTTGTAAGCTGGGAGGAGTGGGACAAGTGCAGTCACTTCCTCCCAGCTGTGATGTCATCAAAGGGGGCCTGGTTGCGCTGTTAAAGTGCTGCAGCGCTGACTGTAAATTTATTGCTATTGGGTGGCCCTAACAGCACGGCCAAGGCCGCGTCACTTAGCTGGCGGGCACCGCAACTGCGACCGCAGCAGTTCCGCCACTGCCCTGGGGTTGCACACAAATCAGAGATGGTATTACGGTACTGGGATGGTTGAATTTATTTATTGTGATATTCTTTATGAAAACAAAACACTAAATATGGTAGAGTTGTCACCCAACTCTAAAGTATTTTAAAAATTGATTATTTATGCCAGTTATTTCAGCTTGAAGGCCAACACCACCTATCAAATGGAAACTAGATGTACATACCACTTGTAGACAACAAGCTCACTTTAATTTTAAGCTGACCTTTCATCTCATGTCAGCATGTGGCTTGAGACTGAAGCTGAAATAACTGGCTGCAGCCAGTATTTCTCTATACTGATGCCAGCTGCCATGTACAGGTTCATGATTCCAGCCATATATTGGATTTAATAAACCAGTGAACTAGCTCAACATTCTAACCACAACAATTCTGTCCATACCACACTTGATATGCCGTCACCCCCAATTAAAATTGAAGGTAAGTGTGAGACAGTGTGTGGTTCAGTCTGTTGGGGGGAGGGAGGGTCAGTATGTGTATGGGTCAGTCTGTGTGTATGGATCTGTCTGTATGTGGGGGTGGGGGTTCCGTTGGTCTGTGGGGGAGGGAAGGGAGGGTCAGTATGGGTATGGGTCAGTCTGTGTGTGTGCGGGGATCAGTCTGTGTATGGGCGTGGGGGGTTCAGTTTGTGGGTATGGGTCAGTCCCTGTGGGGTGGGTGGGTCAGTCTGTGTGTGTATGGGTGTGTGTGTGGGTCAGTCTGAGTGTGTGGGGGCGAAGGGGTTCAATCTGTGTGGGGAGGGTCAGTTTGTGTGTATGGGTCAGTGTGTGTGGGGTGGGTCAGTCTGTGTGTGTATGGGTGTGGGGGGGTTAGTCTGTGTGTGTGGGGGGGAATCAGTCTGTGTGTTGGGGGTTAGTGTGTGTGGGGATCAGTCTGTGTGGGGGGTGGTAAGGGTTCAGTCTGTGTGTGGGGGGTGCAGTTTGTATGAATAGGTCATTCCGTGTGGGGTGGGTCAGTCTGTGTGTATATGGGTCAGTCTGTGTTTGGGGGAGGGGTGGGGTCAGTCTGTGTGTGCATGGGTCAGTTTGTTTGGGGTGGATCATTCTGTGTGTGTATGGGTCTCTCTGTGTATGTGTATGGGTCAGTCTCTGTAAGTGTTTGAGCTCCAAGAGAGATACCTCTCATCTCTTGACCTCCCCTGTACCAGTTGGATAGGCAGCCTTCCCAACCACCACGGATCTGATTGTGCCACCCCCTTCCTGCAAGGTAAGATGAGGGAAAGGGAAATATTCTTTTTTTTTAAAACAATTATTAAAGGAAAAATTGTAAAGCTCATCCCTATCCCACTCTCTACACCCCCTGAACACAGTACACCCTCACAGACAGTGAACCCCCCAAATACAGTACACTCCCACCAACACAAAGTACACCTTTGAAGACACACACAGTGCTCCCCTCACACACACTTCTTTCCCACATACCTTCACCCACACACACACATACATACTCCACGCCATTACACACCAAATCTCATATATTATATATATATATATATATATATATATATATATATATAAATTAACTACAGCTCCTTGATAAGCACACAATGCAACCCCAATTTTCACAGTGAGAAGCGCGGAAGTGCCTCTAGGCTGTCAATGAGACAGCCACTAGAGGCTGGATTAACCATATTGTAAACATAGCAGTTTCTCTGAAACTGCTATGTTTACAGCTGCAGGGTTAACCCTAGATGGACCTGGCACCCAGACCACTTCATTGAGCTGAAGTGGTCTGGGTGCCTATAGTGGTCCTTTAACCCCTTAAGGACCAAACTTCTGGAATAAAAGGGAATCATGACATGTCACGTGTCCTTAAGGGGTTAATAAAGGCTCTGTTAAGAGCCAAAACATTGCTTCTCACCATCCAGTAAATCTGCCTGCACCCTAGACCTGTATTACATATACAGACACGTATTCACAAATAAATACATGAGAAGTAGTGATAGGGGACTGGCTAACTAGAAAGGGGAACAGCTGATCTGTAGACATGCTGTTCGGGGAGATGACCCACATACTTTTGAAGTTCCCTGGGATTGCGTGCCTTTTTATGTGCTCAAACTATGCTGATTGGGAACATTTCCTTGGTGTTAACAGGCGCCTGAAATCAGCACAGCCCCAGCAGATCTGAGTCTGCCACAAGCCATTTTCAACATCTGGATTTGGATTTCAGCTATGTTGTAGGATCTAAAATGGTTGAAATCGTGAATGGAAGCTGAAAGCCAAAATCCAGACGTTTAAAATTAGTGTTAACAATATCCAAATTTTGATATGTGAATTCACCATGTACTGGATTATTTTGGCTACTCTGCTCAGGCATGAACGCATTATTTTAAACAGGTAAACATGAATAATCCACTTTTCTACAGGATTGCCGCAATTTTTGTTTTGATATATATGATCTATAATTTTTTTCTGCTAAGTGTAAAATTGCACAATGTTAACATGTTTTTCATGTATTCAGCCTCCAGGATGTAAAAAGAGACACGTGTAGGGCCGGTATCCTCATCAAACGGCGTGTCAGCCAACTAAGTAAGCACACTGAGATAACACACTGGGAATATTGAAGAGCAGGGAACTACAGAATTTAGCTGAATAGGAAATTTTCTCTCAGTGTAAACAGATTTTTTTTGTGCATGATCACTGTGCATGTATTGTGCACACATTAACCACACCTAGGTGACATCACATATCAATGCCGATGCAGTGCTAAATGGTTTGCAACTAGCATAAATAGCATGGATTTTGCACAAGCACATTACTTCAAAATAAAAATACACAGGTCTACGAGAACAAGTTTAATAACCAAGCCATTTCCAGTTCAAACTCTACTGCCTGAATAACACATGTGCGACGGAGGTGAAAAATATGAAACTGATACTTACCAGCATTAGAGCCACCTACATTAAGGACTGTCATAATTTGGCCTGGGTGGAAAATACCAACAAATGGCCTTTAGTTTTGAATACAAATCTCCCAGATTTCTGTGTGGGTGGTTTTACTCATGCAGAGGATGCTATATATAGTAAATTAGTACAACCTGCTCAACATGGCACCAGTGACCACCGGCACATGTTATGACTGTTATGAGCACTCTTTCATCTTACCCTGCTGTCACACCCAAGGGCATCCTACCTGCTCATCACTGTCTGGCAGCCTGGTCAACCCAAAGCCTGTTGTCTTCTG